TTGGGAAGAAGCTATTGTATGATTCAACAGCTCTCTCTCTCTCTCTCTCTCTCTCTCTCTCTCTCTATGTCTCTCTCTCCCTCCCTCTTCCACCCCCGCACCTCCCCCAAACAAAAATAAAGAAAAGAAAAGAAAATTCTCTCGCTTTCTCTTTCTCTCATGCCTACACAGAGGAAGAGACTTGGAGTACTGCTATTAAAACTGAATCCCACTAGAGAACTTGATTGGGCGGCGACCCCATTTGTGCTTGTCGCTTTGGCTACTTTCTTAATCAAGTTGGGAGACTTGACCTGAACAATTATTGTCAACTAGTTTGGGTAGTTCTAACAAAAATGCTTAGAAGAAAGAAGATTGTGGGCCACCCAATTTGGTAGAAAAATGGGCCATTCAGGCCAAGTTTAGCCATTTAAAGCCATTCCTTGACTTGTTAGTTGTTCATGAAATATTAAATCTGAATCGGTAGACAAGGCCAAGTTCAGGTTCTTGAGACCTGAACAGTTTTAGTTCAAGACTCCAAATCCTGACATGGACTGATTTGGGGTCTGCTTGGTGCTTAAACTGGACAGACGCTACCTCTCCTTTATGCTTTTCACGAGATACACAGATAGACTCATAGTGGTAGATATCTAATTTGAAGCTTGTATTCTTTTCCACAGGTCAAAAGTATTACTACAATACCAAGACAAATGTATCACAATGGGAGCCACCAATGTTTTCTGAGCGGGCTAATTCACAGAATGTTGATAGAGTGAACACAAAAACTGGAGCTGCAGAAAATGGAGTTAACCAATCTTCCATATTTAAAAAGTGTATGGGATGTGGTGGATGGGGGCGTGATCTTGTGCAGGCATGGGGCTATTGCAATCATTGTACGAGGTATGTTTGGAAAGATAATGTAACATGTACTATAATAAGTTAATAACACTCTGCCCATTTTACTGAACCTGTGATTTTTCGCCTGACCTGTCTATGTTGTTTGAAACTTAAATCGGCTACCACCCTCAGCAATATTTATTAGTTTTTTATGCTCAAATGATTTCAAACTTGGCATGTTAGTGGGATGAGTTTTTATCGAGGCATGTGCTGAAAGTTAATGGCATATCCTTTTCTTCTGACTCATAACAGAAACTTCTCTTTATCTTTTATTGACATAAAAATTTATTAATTCAGTTGAAAATTCAATTATCTCCCATGCAGTTTTTATTTTCTTGCTCTACCAAAATCAATTTTTTCCTGTCAAAAGAAAAAGAAGAAAATGTATATATAAAATAAAGGGATCTCAACCAAAACGAAACACAAAAGTAAAAGAAGCATAGATGAAGGATAGTCTATCTTGAGACTATTACAGAGATGCAATGGTGTCTGGATTCTGGACTGTGATAAATATGGGAAACACTCAAGCTAGTGGTTTTTCTTTGGTTGCCATTGGAAAGATTCCTCAAAAATGGAATTCTAAAAAAAAGGGCTACTGAAAATTAAACATGAATAGCATGCGTTGGACAATCCGGATATCAGGAACTCCATAAAATCGAGCATTTTATTAGAGTGGTTTAGACATTATCCAAGAATTTTGAATGCTAGAATTCATTCTCATTTTGAAGCCTGCTGGAGATATTTCGAAAATGAAGGTTCTGAGGAAATCGTCTTCTAGATCTTAAGGAGTCGAAAGTTTAGTTGTGGGCTGCATACCTTACCTCTGCTCAACAATACGGTTTTTTCTAGGCATAGATGGTTAGGATGTTGGAGGGCCACAATGTGACGTCTTGGTTTCCATTTCTACCAGATTCCCAAGTTAATACTCAAAACTGTATGATAAATGTTATATTGTTATGGAATAGCCTAATTAGTGGGCGTCTGATTTGAAAATTGACCCTTTCTTGTCCATTTCATGCAAGAAAATAAGCCAGAAGATAATCTCTAGCCTGTTGATTATCCTGAGTCACGAGTTGCACTTTGTGAAGCTAATAGGCCTTGTGAACATCTGATTGTAAATAGATTTGTTGAAGGAAGTCTAATTTTAATTTTATAGTGATGGAGCTGGTAAGATATGAAGCAATTGTTGCATCTGCACAAGTAATAATCCCATTGATCTCTTTCAGGCAGCGCGCATAAATAAGTTGTGAAACATGGGATGAGCATCATAGCTTCATATATTCTGCTGAAATTAACTTACTTGTAAATTACATGCTTTGTTGCTCTATGGATATTATAAATTGAGTTAACATGGTATGAGATTAGGCAAGAGGTTACCAAACATGAGCTTGTAAAAGTCAATCTCTTGTCTATTTAATTGTAATTGATGTATTGTAGTTGCAGATCTGGTGAGAATATAATGTTTTAGCGAACTTTTTGTCCAATAGGAGTTAAATTTTTAACAAATCAATGGTTTAATGTGTTTTGTGTTCATAATTTTCATTAAAATGGCTTCATTTAAGAGGTTTAAACCATATATGAGAACAGTTTAAGTACAAGGGAATGAACTCGTATTGAATTCCAGGGTTAAAAGTCTCAACCCTGAAGTTGAAACTTCAATTGATCTTTTGGGATTTTATTGTCTTGAGATCCTATTTGAAAATAGATGAATTTTGGTGAAAACAAATGACATAGAATTGCTCAAATTAGACCCTTCTAGGAGTACATTCCAATGATGTTGGCATACCAAATCCTTTAACTTCATGATTGACAGAAGCTTAAGGTGCATGCAAGTCCCAAGGGTGCAAGGGACCAAGTTGTACAAGAATCCGTACCCGACTTACATTGATCAATTCCATTCCCGCCAACCTACCAGAAGGGGAAGCTACCAGTCTTCAATGGTACGGGTTTGCCTCGGAGCATATAGCTTATTTCAATTTCAAATTCAAATTCATGGCAGAGCGGGTTACACACCTCGAGAAGGCCCCCGACTGTCAAATCAAAATTAAATCCCGGCAGAGCTGGTTACACGCTCCAAGAAGGCTCCCGACTGTCAAATTAAATTCAAATCCTGGCAGAGCGGGTTACACACCCCAAGAAGGCCCCCGACTATCAAATCAAATTTAAATCCTGGCAGAGCGGGTTACACACTCGTCGTTTCTACTCCTATTATTACTAAACTTGCATTCCATATACTCTGTCTTAGTCGATCTAATTTTAGAACCTTTAGATTTTGTAGCATCCCTCCAAAATTCTAACTTTGTGTTGATGTCGCTTCGGGTCTCATCGATCAAAACTATGTCGTTTGCGAATAACATACAATAAGATACCTCATCTTGTGAGTGCCTAGTTAAATCATCCATAATTAAGATGAAGCGGTATGGGCTCAACGTTGACTCTTGATGTAAACCTATTGTCATTGAAAACTCACTCGTTTCGCCACTAGTTGTTTGCACACTAGTTAGCGCTCCCTCTTATATATCTCTCATCAAGTCGATATAGTGTCTGGAGACTCCTTTCTTTTCCAACATCAAGCAAATTAAATCTCGAGATACTCTATCATAAGCTTTCTCTAGATCAATAAAGACTATGTGGAGGTCTTTTTCCTTTGTCCTAAACTTCTCAATCAGTTGCTTAAGTAGGGAAATAGCTTCAATTGTTATCTTCCTTGGTATAAAACTGAATTGGTTTTCTGTTACACTCGTTGCATGCCTTAGTCGTTGCTTAATCACTCTCTCACAACTTCATAGTGTGGTTCATAAGTTTGGTCTATTGATAGTTTACACAATTCTGTATGTCTCATTTATTCTTGTAAATAGGTACCACAATATTTTTCCTCCATTCATTTGGCATTTTCTTTGTTCTCAACACCTTGGTGAACAACTTGATCAGCCAGTCGTTGCTGATCTCCCCCATGCGTTTCCAAACCTCTATTGGGATACCATCTGGTTCTAAAGCCTTTCTTATCTTCATCCTCCTTAATGTTTCTTTCACTTCTGATATCCTAATTTTACGAATGTATCCATGACGTCTGCCCTCATTTATTCCAACAATTCCTTCTACCGCTGTGTTCATATTGTGTTCGTCATTAAATAACATTTGAAAATGAACTTTTCACCTTTCGTTGATCTCTTCATCTTTCACCATGACCTTTTGATCCTCACTCTCAATGCATTTAATATGGTCTAGATTGCTACACTTTTTCTCTCATTTTTGCTAATTTGAAGATATCTTTTTTACCTTTCCTTGTTCTCAATTTGTTGTATAGATTATCATATGCTTTACGTTTAGTCTTACTATTTGTTTAACATTTTTTTAAGTATTTCTTTATTATTCTTCGTTTTGATTATTTTTATTTCATTGCCAAGTTTTTTAGTATGATCATTTTTTGCTAATGGCCTTCGAACCTCATCACTCCACCATCAGGTATTTTTATCAAAAATTCTTTCTTTCTAGTTTCTCCTAAAACGTCTTTGGCCACTTTCTTATGCAATCAGCCACCTCATTCCACATAACATTGACCTCATGTTCCTTCTTTAGTTAATTTATCACTAAATAAGTCTATCGTCTCATTTTTTAAATTCCACCACCTAGTTCTTGGACATTTATTAATTTCACCCCTTTTCTTCCATCTCTTTACAATCTTTACATGATGGTCAATCTACCTTCTTAACTAGGAAGAAGTCTATTGGCTTTTATATTATCCACTTTTATAAGTCATTAAATGTTCATCTCGCTTTTTAAAGTAAGTGTGTGCTATTGTTAGGTTGTAGGCCATAACAAAATCTGGAATAGCCTCAACCATCTCATTTCTTTTACCAAACCCATATCCCCCATGTACCTCTTCACATCTTCTATTATCCTTCCCTACATGACCTTTTAAGTCCTCTCCTAAAAAGGTCCTCTCTCCGTTTGGTATGTCTTGGACAAGTCCATCCATGTCCTCCCAGAATTGCCTCTTAATTCTCTCCTCTAATCCTACTTGTGGTGCATAAGTACTATTTACGTTATTTATCTCTTTCCCTAATACAAGTTTAATAAATAGGAGCCTACTACCTATTCTCTTGATATTAACCACTTTATTTTTTAAATCTGTGCATTATTATGCTTACGCCATTTATATTATTATGCTTTCCTTTATATCAAAGTTTATACTCATCTATTTTCTTAGCTTTTCCTTGTCCACTTAGTTTCTTGTAGACAAGCTATGTTTACTCTCTTTCATTTAATTGTATCCACTAACTCCATACTCTTACTTGTTAAGCGTTTCTACATTCTCTGTGTGACTGAACTAATCCTATTAACTTGAACTAGCTTCTTTAACCTCACTCGTCCAGAATGTTGCGGGAACCCTTGCTTATTTTTCACCGCAACCGGGCGGCGCTACGGCACATAATTTTCGGGGAGCGCCCTAGCTAACCCTTGCTTAATTATTATTGTACCCAGTTCCAATGCAGCATGTTGCTTACAGTGAATGCCCAACATAAGCAAATAACGTAGATTCAGGATTCATGATAAGTTTTGGCGAAGTTTTACGTTTTTGCCTACCTAGCACGACCTACCTCCTTTTCTCGGGCTTGAGACAGGTTTTGGGAAAGTTGAAGGTCCTTACCCTTCTTAGACCGATGTTATTATGATGTATATGATGCATATTTTGTAGGCCTCCTCTTAAGTTAGTTAACAAAATGCCCTATGAGCTTTGGTATGGTAAGGAACTACCACTTTGCTCGTCTACGAAGTTAGAAGTGTCTCGCCGAGGTACTCGTCTCATCCAATGAGATATCAATGTTGCGTAGTAAAACCAAGTAACATTCTTTTATGGGATACGTAGTTATTGGGATCTCCAAATCAAGGGGTAGATCCACACTAGAAGCTCATTGCTCCGCTCCAGGGAGGGGGATCTTCCCCCTTTGTGATGTATAAACTTTGAAAGCTCGATCCTTCCTATTAGGGTTCGAGATCCAGATTTACATGGGGTCTAGATTCCTTAGCATCATATTGGAGGGTTCATAGCTAAACTCAGTCGAGGTTCCCTTGGTGGTAGACTATATTTTCCCTCTTTGGCTCTTTCACAGATCACAAGTTCAAACCTTGAGGTCTAACTTAAAGCTAATTAATGGCTATTTTGTACGTTTTAGGTATATATTAATTGCATATTTTGTTCTCACACATGATTTCTGGTGGTTGTAAACTATACTATCCATCCAGGCCTCTATGACAGGTCACGAGTTGGAATCTTATGCTTGAACTTAATACTTTTCTTAATACGACAGCGAAAATAGATGGCCATGATTGTTATTACATGAAGTCTTAAACTACACTCAAAGAATATGTAAAGTAGTATATGATGATTTATTCTTTTTTTTTTTATAAAATTTCAATTTCTTTAAAGTTTTTTATTGCTTAATTGAAATATAAGTACACTCATAAGAGTTAAAAAAATAAAATATAAGTACACTCATAAGTACACTCATAAGAGTTAAAAAAATAAAATATAATTACACTCATAAGAGTTAAAAAAATAAAATATAAGAACACTCATAAGAGTTAAAAAAATAAAATATAAGTACACTCATAAGAGTTAAAAAAATAAAATATTATGAAATTATTGCATTCTCAGCCTAGGAACCTTAGTTTAATGCACTTAAGGACGAGCTTGACTTGTAGAACTTATCATTTGACCCCAGATTGAGCTCCCCAACATATTGAGATCTCAATTCTTAAATTTTAGGGTGTACTGACAAAAATCCGGAGCCTAGGGACATTCTAGTCTTTCACAATCCAGCAGTTCAGATCCGATCCCAGAACCAATCCCGATACCGATCCTGGTAACTATGATTAGATCTTTAGACAATTTCAAGGGGTATAGATTCTATAACTATGGCACTAGATCTCTTTTGGAATCTAGAGATGCTCATGTTCTTGACGAACCTATTCACATTAGCAATAAACCCTACTTAGGTGACATTGAAGAAAATAGTAAAGATTGACACTGTTGAAGCCAATTTTGGTGGGGACCTAGTTGGGTTGACCCAGGCACATCTCAGGTCAACCTAACAGGTTGGCGAATTGTGGTCCTTATGTTATTGGTATCCTCATATGTCATAAACGATTGAAGAATCGCTATAAGTAGAGTCCTACAAATGAGAAGCACAAGGGACTTGGTTTTATTCATCTTTGTTTAAGAGGTACATATCATTATTCACCTTTCTGCAGACAATCTTTATTCTATGCTTCCCAATTAGAACCTTCCTATAGATGAAATGCTCTTTGTACTCGTTTACACTTAACAACATGACAAGTGACAGCATTAGATTGCAATGCATCAAAGCTGCATAGAGAGTTTTAGCATGAGAAAAACTTGTAATTTAGGATTGCTAGCTTGAAATATTCCAGCACCGAACACCTTGGAACAAGCATCATTTTCTGTTGATAAGACATGCTCTCTAGCTTTTATTCCTCCGATAAATGATGAAGGCATCTTTCAAATCAATGCTTGTGCTATATGGTGCCAAATGGACGTATTTTGTGGCACCTGAGTCCACCCATCAATGGGCATGACGCCATTCATAAGAATTCAATTAGAAACCAAACAATGGTGCTCTCTTTTACCATTAGGACATTTAGGAGCTTCTTTATTTGAGCATTGAGATTGGAAGTGCTCAAAGTTGCCACGTGAGAAATAAATAAACACCTTGGGGATTGTATGATTGCAAGGTTATTTTTTATTTCTTTCCATATTTCTTCTTTAACTCAAATGGCTTGGGAACCCTACATTAGGATAAGTCTCCTAGAGATTCAGTTTCAACAATTCTAAGTTTGTCTATTTTTCTATAATACTTACATTGTCATTCAGAATCTCTGATTTATGTTCACGGGCTGGGAGGCATTTATATCCTAACATATTCTGGCCGCGTGGCTACACTTGATGCCACTCTTGCCAAAATCAAACCCTTGTGGACTGGCCTCCAAGTGTTCGATAGTAGCTGGGGACGTAACTGCTCATAGAGGGAGATTCCCAATTTGTTACAGGATGGGCTAAAAGATACATCCTTGTGTCCTAGGAGGTTTAACATCTTTTTGACCAAAATTTCAGTTCCACGCATGGTTTAAAGATGCCCTTACTCAAACCTGAGGTGGAGCAAGCATTGATGCTGCTATTGGGACGAAGGCTTGACCAAATCTGAAATCTTCCCCCCAAGACCATGCAACACAGAGCTTGTATGCATTTTCCTTTTTGACACTCCTGAGTCTTAAACACAATTTCTTAAATTTTTCCCAAGCATTAATACCAGAAGTTTATAATAAATAAAAATAATAATGGAGCAAACATTTGAAGAGCCAAGGATAGATATTTTCTGACTGGTTTTTGAAGAGTAAAGGATAAGTATTTACATCCCATAAATTAGTAGTTATCTAACTCTACTTAGGATCATAGTTTTGTGAGGATCTTGGTTAACTTTTGCTTTGGATTTCAGAATTTTTTATGGGACTTTCTAGCAACAAAGTTCTTATTAGCATGTGTTCAGCATATTGATAATGCTAAAAGATAGATTATTAATTCTTTTATTTTTAAAATATCACTTCTGAAGAAACTGAGAGGACGTATTTGTAGGTATACACAGACATGCATTTATGATTTATCATTCAGGTGATTGTTATGATTTATCACTCAGGTAATTGTAATAATATATATAGCAACAGTTGAGGATACTACTCATGCACGCATGCATGTGCATACACATGCACGCACATGCACACGCACACGCACATGCATGCACCCACCCACCCACAAACACACACACCCACACATATATACATACATACATATACAAACATATATATGGGGTGCTCCCCTTGTGCTCCATGTGAATGTAGTGCATATATAGGAGATCGCCCCTAGTTCGCTCCCTGAGCAGCACTCCCCAGGTAGGAAGCTTCAGCCAAGGGTTGATGCCAGGCTCTCGCACCCACACCCGCTCCCACTTTCAACAGCTACACTTAGGATTAGCTGTTATTATAGTTTGTGTGGGTTCGAAATGGCTTCTTGATCCACAGCATACCCACTCCCTTGGGAGTTACAAAGAGGTTTAGTTAAGGGACTTGAAATCTCTGGGGTCAATTTCATGGACCAATTGATTGTAAGGAATCCAAAGGCGAGAAAATCTTTAAAAATAGACTGAGACCTTTTGATTGATACATCAAAATATCATCGAGCAAACACATTAAGAGCTCTTTTGTCTAGCTTGTCACAAGCTATATTGTTCCATCAGATTGGATTCGTTCTCTATTCCCATTTGTGATTTAGAGACTCTTTACAGGCTCTAGTATTTGTATCTCCTATTGGTAGTGAACCACATGTTTACGATTTAGGGTTTAGTGTTTGAGGCTAAATAAAGTTCGTCACGATAAAATGGTTTTATTTCGAAATTTTGATGGAGAAAACATCCCACAAAAAATTCAGGAAAAGATGGGTAGCTCCATTTTTGTTGAATGACTTTGCTTTTTAATTTTCTTTCTTTGAAGCTTGCCAGAAAACTAGGTAAGCTTCACTCAACCAAGAGGTTTTAAACATAAAACATACGTCTTCTGATTGCAGGATTCTCAAACTTCCTTACCAGCAGAGCCCACCTCCCAGTTCAAACAATAAGAAACAAATGGATCATGCAACAGTTCATCGAGAAGATGCTGGCAAAAGAGATGACAAGCAGAGGTATCTTGTTTCCTTAACTATGTTTCCTCTCTAGGTTTCATTGTCGTTTGGGTCTACTTTCTCCGAGTATATATATATATATATATATATATATATATATACACACACACACACACATATAGGGTGTGGTTTCCATAAGGTTGCAACCTTAAACAATCCAATTAAGCTGCACCTTCAAATTTGATCATAACATATAATTTTGATGTAAAATATTATTAGGATTATCTCAAAATCTATTTTCATATCTAATTGTAAAATTTTAGACTCTAAAAATGGTTAAAATCAAGTCGATCTATAAACATAAGAAAATTTTGAAAATGGACGGTTTAGATAATGTGTTGTAAGATGCCCTATTTTTTGGACTCAAAATCATTTTTTCTTTCATAATCATACATCTCGATGTCGAGATGCTCAATTAGAGGGTTTTCCAACATTAAAACAATTTTTTCCGATGTTTTAAGGTGCATTCGTAGTTCTACATTTTAAGGTTGCAACCTTATATAAAATTTTTCCATATATATATATGGAAAAGTCTTCCTAACGCCTATAGGCGAAAATGAATAGTGATTTCGCCTACTCTCATCACCGTCCAAATTTCATCGTGCGGTCACGATTGTCCGGTAGTGTTTTATTTTTCATATTTTTTGTACAAATTGGAATAACCTGAAATTTGGAGGGTATGTACATCTTATTGAGGCACATCTAATAAAAATATAAAAAAAAATTATCAAAGAAAAAAAGAGACCAAAATACCCTGAAACTTTTCGGGGGTATTTTAGTTAATTTGTTTCATGTAAAATATTTTTTTATATTTTTGGATGATTCCCCTATTTTTGATGAATACACGTTCCAAATTTCAGGTCATTCTGATTTGTAAAAAAAAATGAAAAATGAAACACTATCGGACAATCGTAATCGTGCGATGAACTTTGGACTGTAATCGGGGTAGGCAAAATCACTGTTCATTTTCGCCTATAGGCGTTGCGTAGTGTTTTTCATATATATATATATATATATATATATATATAG